GGGAATGAGTCACCCACGGAAAAACCTGTTACGATGAGACATTCGATCGCAAATGACGAAATTTCCGGTTGTGATGGTTTTTTGCGTGATGCGTAATTTTTTCACTTAATGACTAATTTTGTGCAATGGTTTTTTGCTTAATGACGTTTCGCGAAATATAAATCTTCTCCAAGTTAAATTCGGATTGAATTTCTGCACAGTGACGAAATTGAGTGCAAACAGCTCATAGACAGTTTATCAACAAGAACAGATAATTCGTGTGTAACGAAACTATGGCGATGCTAAAATATCAACACATCACACCCGTCGCCTTCTGAATCGCTTACAGTTCAAACGCAATATATTCGATTGGAATAATGTTATCATGAACTATACTGCAGATTTCATTTTATTTAATTGTTCCAACAATCCATTTTTGTTCTGGTCAGAATCTTGAGATGAAAAAAATGTCCCGATTAAGAGACTATTTCTCAAACTTTTCAACTTGCGATCCCTATTATTATTTACTCATGGTAAAACATTTTATCCTATGAAGTGTATGAAAATTATGATAACTGATCGCAAGAGGTCACAAGATCAAATCAAATCCCTCGTGATCTGAGCTGAAGAGATCTTTTTTTTTTGTGGCATTCAACTCCACTGTGACGTATTGCACAAGCATATTCGCTAACAGAGATAACTGATAAGCGCTGCAATGCAAAATCCTCATCCGATACGGCAGTGAATAACTGCATGCTTGCAAGAGTATCAGTACTGCGTTATTAAAGACTAAGAAAAAGTTCCAATGATAGATATTAACGAACACTCGTGATATCATCACGACTCAGATCACTTCTGTGGTTCTAAATTCAGCGTATAATAAGATCCTTCCGTTTAAGGATCGAGGTGATCATTGTCCTAAACCGTAAGAGTCTTATCCGTAATTCTAATAGCTTGGCTTGTATTAAACACGATAACCAATTCGGTTCTTATTTTCGCGAAAATTTGTTGATTGTGAATGTGTCACAGGAAGACTGACTGTAAGAATAATTTGTACGTTTCAACTCAAACCAACAGCATTTTGCACACTTGAATTATGCGTGTTGAAGAGTTTTGTTTCGCGATGCTCTCATATTCGTATTTTCTTTCCGGTTATAACATGAGCAATAACAATTCATGACTATCATTCAATCATCACTTCGTCCTCTAGTGAACTTCTATCGAGATAAACGAGCGAAAGTTCTACCGAATATAGAATGCTGTTGGTTTGAGTTGAAACGTGCCCCCCTTCCTAATTGCAGATAGACTGTCTGTCCATATAAAGAGGCAGACTCGAACAGCAGCCATCTGAAGGTCATCTGACTCGTACGTTGTTCACATGATGATACGTTCACAAGTTCTCATCTGCCGAACAAGATTGAAAATAACATATCAATAACTATTACAAACACTTTTTAGTGGTAGTGCATAAATGTTAACAAGAATGTTCGGAACGTTTCAATCGGTTC